TCAGCTCCCTCCAAACCACAGCCTCGGGACGTGTTCGGGTCCGGCGGCTCCCAAGCACGGCGCAGGAGATGGGCAGGACGCAAGGTTTGAGAGCTGGAGCAGATCTGGGCGCTCTGGGTGCAGGAAGGCAGCGCTGCCCTTCCCGCCGGGGACGGGGACGGAGAGCAGGGGTTTTCCACGGCTGGCTGCTACTGACTTTGAAAAGGAAATGCTAATTGCATGAGCACAGTTTCAGTAGCAGCTGAGTTCCCCTCAAGAAGGGGAATCCTTTTTTATTGCAGCTTTTCAAGAGAAAAAAAGACTCTGAACAGCCTTCGTCCAGAGAATGGATTTTAAAGTAGCTTTAAAAATCCAACTGCTTTCATCTCCGGGCCCAGCCGCCGCCTGCTTTCCCGCAGCACCAGGAAGCAGGCGTGGGGCACACGCTCCACGTCCGCCCGCGGCTCTGGGCATTCCGAAAAAGCTCTCCCGCACGCGTAGCTCCAAGCAATCCCCGCTCGGGCAAACATCAAACCTCCCTCCTCAAGCACTTCGTCGCGAGGCGAGCTCCCCGCCCAGCAACGAAAGCATTGAAGAGATGGCTTCACCGTACAGCCACAAGCCTGCGAAGGGCTTCCACGAGCAAACAGACCAGCTCACAACCCGCTGCTCACTGCCCGAGATTTTCTTTTTTGAGAACAGGCAGAACAGTGCTGGGCTGGGGCAGTTCCGCGAGGAGAGCCTCTTCCGCTAACTGATATTCAAGCACTTCCCTAGGTATGGTTTGGGCTTTATTTAGACGTTGTCTCTTGCACCGTCATGGTTTAGGCACTAAAATCTATTTCTGGGGCTCTAATATGTATTTCCTCCCTTCCTTAACCATTTTATCACTGGTTTTATGGTCTCTGAGGATTTTAATTCTAACTAAAGGGTTATGCGGGGCGATTCCAAAGCTAACGGGGTTGCATTCCCCATTGTGAGAAATTAAAAAGGTCTTCTGCAATCAAAAAAGTACCTCTTTCACCAGAGTGGTTCCATTTAGCCCAGCGCTAAAAAGAGACTGTCCCAGGCTCCACGGGAAAGGGGGACAGACCAGAAGTACCTCCGCATGGCCAGCACCTCCCCTGTGAAGGACCCGGCTACAAATCCCACACCCAGCCCAGACGCAAAAGGCTTCTGAAATTTTGCAAATTTGGGGGTAATCACCTGGAGAGAAGATCGCAGGAGAGCGGCCTGTGATTGCTTCCTGACGCTTCCTGGCAAACTCCGTTATCTTCCAGATGAAAACACCGTCGTAGGTGGAAGCTTCCATGTTGCGGATCTTTTCCTCCATCTCGGCCTACAAATCCCACACCCAGCCCAGACGCAAAAGGCTTCTGAAATTTTGCAAATTTGGGGGTAATCACCTGGAGAGAAGATCGCAGGAGAGCGGCCTGTGATTGCTTCCTGACGCTTCCTGGCAAACTCCGTTATCTTCCAGATGAAAACACCGTCGTAGGTGGAAGCTTCCATGTTGCGGATCTTTTCCTCCATCTCGGCCATGGCCAGGTCTTTGAGCCCAATGCTCCTCTCCAGCTGCCGGACCTGCTCGGCAGGACACAGGGGACAGCCCGGTTAGAAACACGCCAGCAGACACCCGCGGCCCCCCCGGGACC